GTCCCAGCATGGGACGGATCAAGCGTCTACTTTAAGGTGAGGCACACAGGTTGATTTCTGGGAGGGTAAAGCCGATTAGCTTACAAGACTTTCCTCGTTTAATCCTCCACACTGGAACAGTGATTAAAGAATAGCCCTTTCCCCTTCCAGTAACCAGACAACATATTTCTGGGAGTACAAGCTGGAATATCTTTATTGGCAGCCACAACTGGCCTTATATGCAGGTCCCCATGCAAGGGGCACTCCCCCCTGGACGTGAGATTAGACTACAGTAAAAACACACACAATTACATTGGCTCTCAGGTCCAGGACACTACCATACATAATAAGATAATCCATCGCCTGTGCCGGGGAGATAATTGAGTCAAGTACTGTCTTAAACTCAATTATCTCCAGGTACAAAAAAAAAACACATTTCCCAAACACCCCAAAAGTACATTAAAAATAAATCCCCACAAAAGTAACATCCCCTGATAGCCCCGATCTGGGTGTCCAACATATCCCCAAATTATCCAAATCGGTCCGGAAATTTCCTGAAAATCATAATTTGACCGACCGCACGCACGGTCCCATGCCCACAATAGTTCCAGAGAATCAGGGCTTGTGATCAGTCTAGTTCGGTAGTTTAAAAACCCGAACAAACTACCAAACATAGTCAATGTTCTTACCCTAGAGCTTGTTCCCCTTGTTTGTGGGAATGTTTCCACCGAGCAGCGCCTTTCTAAGTGTTGTAGAACCTAACCCAGGCGATCATGGAAGTCCAGCGGTGTTCAGGAGTTTGTTTCTGAAAATAGTTCCATGAACTCGATGACCAAACACCGCTGCCTGTGTTCATGCGAACAAGATGGCCGCCACCTCGTGGTCGTTCATAGGAAATGCGGCCACCCAAATGAACACTTAGAACACTGCGGTGGAAATTGATACAAAGTATCAATTGGGCTTAACAAGCTTCATGCTGGTCTTTTACACTATTTTCCACAGGGTCCATAGTCTATGGGCAGGAGGCTGGCAAGCAGGCTCCTCCAGGTCCTTGTGGCAAACTCACATGGCAAGGGGAGTTTGTCACAGTCTCTCCTCCCAATAACACACTCTGCCGCTGGGGAGGACAGATGACCCACTTCTCTCCCTGTAACTCTGTCTGCCACTGGGGAGAGACACAGTTTGTCTCCTCCTCCCTGCATAATACAATGCTTCTGGGAAGAGAGACTGTCCGTCTCTTCTCCCATTAACACACTCTGCTGCTGGGGAGGAAGGACAACACACTTCTTTTCCTGTAACTTGCTCGGCCGCTGGGGAGGGGGACCGACTGTCCCCACTCCTGACATCTCCATCTGTGGTTGGTGATCCCTGTAGGGCCGGTAGACAGACCTCGGTCCCATCTCCACCTGCCAACTGGGGGTCTTCCCAGGACCAGTCTATGAGGTCCCCTGTTTCTGGAACTGGTAGTAAAACGGGGTACAGCAGCCAGGTCTCCCCACCTGGAGTGTGGCAGGTCTAGTCAGCCACCCAGCTTTCCTGCTCGGCAGGCACAGAGATCACGGTCCCATCTGCACCAGTCAGGCCAAGTGCCTTGTCTCCTGACAATGGGCACAGCTGCTGGGGAGGAGGGACGAAACTCAACTCTCTCGGTGTTGCACAGTTCATAAACACCATCATTTTGGAGACAGACAACATTACCCGTTTGGAATAGGCAAACCTAATCCTGTTCTAGTTCTCACTCCCGGTTGACCAGAAAAGACAGGTCTGGCTGTATGGCAGCAATCTCAGTAAGGTCCCAGTTGCCTGTCCACTTAGCTCAGATGGATCAGAAGCGGGCACTGTCGGATTCTCCGAGCCCCAGACTAGTTTCAAAAGCCTCCCACAACAAACCAGGGCCATCGTAGTCTCACCCCTCAATACACTTATACTCGACCAGCTATGGGTACAGGTGGTAGTCATGCCACCGCAGGGCCCGATATGAATCATCTAGCCATACCTGGGTTGCAACAAGCATTTCCAGTTTCCTTACCCATTACTCTGAGGGATGGTCTCCCATGAACGACATCCGCAGCTCTAGCTGTTTCTCTTGGCGCTGGTTGGTGGTCAGGATTTCCTCACTCTGGAAGGGTCGAATTTCGTCAAAGTCCTCCTTCCAGAGATCGGTTCGAAGCGCCACCCTCCACTCTGTCTATCTATCCTCTGGAATAGGATACTCCATACTGCGCAGCACATCCTGTAGTCGTTCCTGGAGTCTGGTATCGAAGCCTGATACTTCCCAGCAGGACTTGCCTTCCACACTTCTGAAGTAGTGCTGGTTTTCTTAAGGCTAGGAAGCCATCCCACTGCTGCCAACCAATGTAATGGAGCTCCATGTACCCCTCCTAGGTACTGATATGAACGTGCTGATGGCTCTGATAATAAATGGTCCCATGTGAGTAGCATGTGATGGGAACTGTGACTTAATTTGGGGAGGAAATCATGTTGAAGAACGGACTGAGTTAGTTTAAGTTAGGGAGTAGTGCAATTAAGCATGATCTATTTGTATTTTTCCGTCTAATTATGACAATTGCCTTTCTTCATGTCTCTGCTCCCTTTTATTTATTCTCTCGTCTGCTTGTGCCATGTCCAACTTTTCCCCCATTATTTCACATCCATTATGTTTTTACACCCTCTGTGTTGCCCTTTTGATCTTTTTCATTGCCCACATTAACTCTAATGTAGTAAGTCATTCTGCTACCGCCGGCTGCAGTACCTGAGCTCTCGCTACCAGATGCATGTTCTCCTCAACGAGATGAAGGAGCTGGCAACTCAGAAGAAAGTGCCTCACAGAGACTTTTACAATATTCACAAGGTACATAATAAGCCTG